TTTTTTTTTTTTTTTTTTTTTTTTTTTTTTGGCGATGCCGAGCAGCTTGTGGGATTTTACTTCCCCGATGACCAGGGGTTGAACCCAGGCCCTCGGCAGTGAGTGCTCGGAGTCCTAACCACTGGACCACCAGGGAATTCCCTAACTAGCTCTTTAACTTTGGTCAGTTTGAGCCTTTCTGAACCTATTATCTCATTTGTAAAATTGTAATTATGCCTTCTTTAAAGAGTTATTAAGATGAAATGAGTATGTGTATAAATCTAACAGTGGGTAGTCAGGAATAGATAAGTGACTTACATTAGTTCCTTGCCATATCCAGCCATGTTCCAGTCAAACTTTACTCCACACTCACACTTCCAGTCTGAGTTTTTATTCTATGTGGAGACCTAACAGGCTATATAGGACCTGGCCTAATATGAGGCAGCAAGATTGAGTATTTTTAGCCCAGGCTTTTTCTCCTTTCACATTAAGCACCTATTTACCTGTCAGTTACTCTGCTAGGTGCTTGTGTGTTATCAGTAATCTTACAACAATCCTGTGGGATTAGGTAATTTCTGAATTTGCCCAAGGTCACACAAGTAGCAGAACTTAGTTTAAAGTGGTCTATTCTGACAGTACTTTTGCCTTCATTGCATTTCAAACTTTTCTAAGAGCATCAAAAAATGACTTGGGAGTATAGCTAAAACTCCTTACTAAGATGTGGGCATTTCTTTGAAATCTGTGCTTTCTTGTCTAAATTCATCCAAAATAGCCATCTACTTCAAACCATGACTGCTTGTTGTAGTATAAAAATATGTAACAGGGATTAAATTGCTATCAAGTAAAATTAATTCTCCAGAAAGATTCATGATAATTACTCATATATGCAGTACTTTTTGTCAGCTGATTCCAGAATTAAAGGTACGCTATTTCGAGAAGTATGTACATGCCATGATGTGTACATTTGGCTGGTGCCTGAAGTGTGGTAACCAGACTCCCTGTGTGATTGCTGAACCTGAGCCTCTGCTTAGGTCATCTGTCCAGGATGTAAGCCTCTTGAGATATAAGACCTCTCGCTTTCTAGTCCTTTACCCCTAACCACCTTCTCTGAGAGGCTGCATTTCTGCATTGAAACCCAAATCTATTGACTGAGACACTGCTAACTGCTACTAGACGTGTTTAATGCCGGCACTACCCAACTTGGTTCTTGATGTCAACTACTGACCTGTTCTATAACCTATCAGGACTAACCTATGGGTATCATGTGCAGCTACTGAGAACAGACTTTTGTACCTAAAGGTAGGTCTTGTACCTGCTGGATGATGGACAAGTCTAGTTCCAGACAGCAACTTCTTTATTACCCTAACCCACTGTAGTTACCATGACTGAATCCCAAAAGAGGAGATTCTTTCCCTTTATGTTTATACTCTACCTACCCTTCAGAATCAACCTTCCTTAAATAAAACCAAAGCAAAGTAAATGTTGAACACTCAGATTCCCTTTATTTTGTACCTCCAAAAACCTTTGGTTACCATTCTGCCAGTACTCCCTAAGGCTCCAAATACTAGAGGCTCTATCTAGAAGTAGAGGGAAGGCTGACAAACCCCGTCACACAAAAGAGAAAACTCTAAAGGAAGAAATGGGTGGCGTTCTACTTAATATTGCAAGAGATATTTGGGGGCTAAATAACATGGCAACCTCAAATGACAGCTCCCCTTCTTGCCTGCATGAAACAGTGAAGTTACTGTAATGTATCCAATCCAAAAGGGCTCTCCCACTTTTTTTTTTTTTGCCTGTTTCTGAAATTAATTTAGTTGGCAACCCATTCTCCTTAAATAAAAATACGAACCACAGATGTTTCTTGTATTAGTCAAGCATCTCAATTGTAATTTATAGAAACACAAATCAAACTTACTCAAGTCAGAAAGTTTTACTTATTGGTCAGTGTTTGCAGTAGCCTCAGGGATGATTGGATCTTTGTTTAGACGATATTATCAGGAATCTCTTTTTATCACTTTGAGGGTTTTTTGTTTTATTGAGGTATAGCCAATGTACAATATTTTATGTACATTGTCCCACTTTTAATCCCTATAATTCAAGTACAGTTGATCCTTGAACAACACAGGTTTCAACTGCACGGGTCCACTTATACCCAGATTTTTAGTAAATTATACAGTGCTTACATGGCCCATGGTTAGTTAAATCCGCAGATAGGGAGGGGTGACTATAAGTTATATGCAGATTTTCAACTTAGCGGAAGGTTAGCACCCCTGACCCCCATGTTGTTTAAGGGTCAAGTGTAATTGAAATTGCCTTGATTTCTTTTTTTTTGTCTTTTTAAAAAAATTTTATTGAATTATAGTTGATTCACAGTGTTGTGTTAATTTGTGCTGTACAGCAAAGTGATTCCGTTATATATATTCCTTTTCATATTTTCCATTATGGTTTGTCACCGGATATTGAATATAGTTCCATGTGCTATACGATAGGACCTTGTTGTTTATCCATCCTATTTATAATAGTTTGCATCTGCTAATTCCAAACTCTCAATCCTTCCCTCCCCCACCCCACTTTCGCCCGTCTTGATTTCTTAATGAGGATTGTTTCCTATGTAAATCTTGCCCCAGTACCACACATATATAAATACACAAATTGTAATCTCTTGTAGTTTAGACTTCTTTGGGGTCATTCATAGATTTAGCAAATTTCTAGTAATACTGTAAGTGCTCAGTGAATTGAATTCCCTAACTTAAAAGGTAAGGTATTAAGGTGAAATATAATTCATACTATAACATTAATGAAAATTAGCTTTAAAATTCTTGGCTTCAACTTAAACAGATAAGGCAGTAACTATTCTTTGTCTTTCAAAGACTTCAGAAGCAGCATTTTTTTTTTTCTTTTACTCTGTACAAGGTTTTCTTTTTTGTTTTTAATTGTAGGAAAATATACATTACACAAAATTTACCATTTTAAACACTTTTAAGTAGACAGTGGCATTAAGGACCATCACCATCATCCGTCCCCAGAACTTTTTCATCTTCCCATACTGAAACTGTCCCCATTAAACATTAACCCCCCATTCTCCTCCCCTGGTCCCTGGCACTCATTATTTGCATTTTCTGTCTCTGAATTTGGCTACTCTAGGGACCTCATAGTGGAATCATACAGTATTTGTCCTTTTCAGTCTGGCTTATTTCACACAGCTATAAATAGGTTCATCTATGTTGTAGCATGTGCCAGAATTTCCTCTTTTTAAGGCTGAATAGTTCTCGTGTGTGTGTGTGTGTGTGTACACATTTTGTTTATCCAGTCATCCATCAATGGACCCTTGGGTTATATCTGTCTTTGGCTACTGTGAATAATACTGCTGTGAACATGGGATCACAAATATCTTTTTGACTGCCCAAAGCAGCATTTATTAATAAGCCCCCCGTTTCCTTAAAAATGCAGTTTTACTCTCCAAAATATAATTCACCTACAACTCTTGAAAGAATCCAACAGCTATGTAAATCTA